GGGGGGGGCAGCTGATTCTCGGCCCCCACCCAGCTGGTGCCCCTGCTTGTTGTTTATTAAATAGGGTAACATTTTATTTGAAGGGGTGTGCATAAGACTTACATGACTCTGTCATAAACGTGAAGGAGGCTTCATGAACGTTTATGACTGTTGTCATTAAGTGTCATTCAGTAAATTATGACATATTAAATGCAAAGTCGACATTGTTTACAATGTCTTGGTTATGACAACTTGACATTAACCAAGAAATCATATGATGTGATACAATCACATGACATTGTAAATACAATAAAAGAGTATTTCTTGACATTTCCATATCAGTATATATCATATAATAACAATGTCAAGTTGTCATAACCAAGACATTTCAAACAATGTCAAATCAATTACAAAAACAATATTTCATTATTAATTTCCTTCCTACAGGGTCAGACAAGGGGCTCACTAACTGCGCAACATGCTTCTGCTACTTGAATCAGAACCATGGTTCTGCATGTTCATTACAGATTTAGCTGTCTGTATTCTGTAGGAAATAAAGCCTTTGATTTCTTTGTCTGGAGTTGTTCTGAATCATTTCTAATTAAATCACAGGTCTGTATACTGGTATGTCAGGGCTTGTAACAAAGGCAGAGTGACATTTTCAGCAGCATACTGTTTCCAACACCTGGAGTCCTTTCAGTTCAACACCATCAAAGGATTTTACACAATTGGAGGCTCGTCACCCGCTCAGACCCACAAATCACTGCAGCTCTTTCAGCGTGTCTGAGCGAGCAGCAGTCCCAACACTGACAAGATGAAAGGATTAAAAAATATACTCAGAGAATAGAGAGAAGTCTGTCTGGTAACAACTACTCTGTAGAAACAAATGTGCTGACATCATTTATCTTTGTTCTGCTGCTGCAGCACAGAAGTTTTTAGTTCATTCAAGTTATTTTGTCATTTTAAATAAACAACAAAAAGCATGCAAGACTAAAACTGATTCCATGTTCAAGTGCACATATTCTAAGGCAGAATTGATCAAATTTGTACAATATTTTAAGGTTTTCTGTTTAGAAACTGTTGGGGACTGAAGAAAAAACCCTTACGGTTGTATAACCAGTTTATTTAAGTCAATATTCTGCTAATGACCCAACTCAGCAGTGAATGCAGTGAATTAAGGCGACCCATGTGAGTCCAAAGCACTTCAGGTGATTCTGCTGGGGGGGTTTTTGTCAGTGTGACTTTGCCAACTTGTGTACTTTGTAATCTGCCAGAGCACATTAAAGATTCAGTTTAATTTAGACCTCAAAATCATGGGGCCTAATTCAGTGTGAGGACTTGAATCATTAATTCGAGTAGATCAGGAACCGACCAGCTCTAGAAAAGTCCCCCAATTTAATTTTGGAAATCCCTCACCTTACCCCCAGTTTACACTGAATCCGCTCCGATATGAATCACAAAGGAGCTCTAAGAAGTGTGTGCAGGAAATGTACGATAAATCCAGTGAAAAATGTGGAATTCAGAGCAAAACAATTCATTCTGTGTAAAACAGACTCCACACAGCAGTTGAAACTGCATCGCTGTCTTTTTGAAACTTCTGATTCCAAAATAAAATCCACCTGTATTTTGTATGTATCCGTATGCTGCATGATACACGTTGCCATCTGCGTCCCTAACAGAACGATGCATTTTCACAGCGTATGTGTTCAAATACATCCATGTCTTTATTAATATAAGCTAGGATTTCAATAAAATTAGTTTGTCTTTGGTGAATTATTTTGAAAATACGTCTGTTGTGCTCATTCTGTGTGATCCATGTAAACTGACTTGCTCTGGCGTTCGGCAAAAAATGGGATCAAATCTGATTTTGGTGGATCACCGCTGCCCTGCGCAGGGCGTGTTAATGCTCTCATTGAATATGATGGGTGTGTTTTTACTGCGGAGGTTGGAGCGGAGCACGACAGAGCGGATGCAGTGTAAATTGGGTCTGAACCAGGGACGGGCAATTGGCAGCAGATTATCTATTCACAGTACTTCAAGTCAAATCTATATGTTTAGTCTGCTTAGAGATGCTGTCTGCCATGAATGATTTTAATATAAGTTAAACATGTTGCACAAAGCTAAATTTGAGAATTTCATTGAAGTCTTTTTTACAAGAACCACAACCTCGCTGAGTCTGCATTCAAGGCGTCTCAAACTGTTGCACTTCAGCTAGGAATGGTGTCCCTGATCTGAACCTGAATGGTATTCTGTTATTGGACTTCTGTGTTAGGCATGAGTTAACCATGACAAATACGTAGAGCCGGGCATCGTGTCCAATTCCCTAAATCTATTCAAATTCAATTCATAAGGTTTTGGACTGATTAATCATGATTCAATTCAATCTGACCTGAAATAATGAAAATTGCTCAATTGTGTTGCAAAAAACAAATGTATTTTATTTTGTCTTCACCAAAAACAAAGGATTTGAGTGCAAACACGTAAATTGAATAGTTTCAGCTTGAACTGTAAACAAATCTCAAAGGTACAATTTTCACATTAGAAATGAATTGCAAATGAAAACGTACTTGAACTGCAATATTCTATCCCTGTAAATGTCATTAAGACATTGTTTCTTAAAGCGCAAAAGTAAAGATAGTAAACAAAACTCTCTCACGTCAAGTCCTGTTATTGTGGCTTAGTTCTTAGTAATAGTGAGTTTCTTCAGCAGGAAAATGAGCATCTTTGACATGATCTGGAGTCGGGCAGCTTCTTTTTGCAGTGACAATATCACCTGCACTCTTTCTGAAGCAATACTTGTCCCTGGGAAAACAAAAATATTGCTTTGGTAGGTAAGCCAACAGTGGATACTCCCGTTTATTTGAACTCCACCAGGTCAAATGATTTTCATTCAACCCGGCAGGTTTTTTGTCTAGTATCTTCTGATTTTATCTTCAGCCCTCGTTGCCAGATCTTTCAGTTCATTTTCTTTCACTGTTCAGTAGACTGCCCCAAGGAGAGACTCCAAGGTGCTGGATTTCTTGGGTTTCTTAAGCAAAGTCTCTTCCCCCATCTCCTCAGCCTCATTGTTAGTATCTTGCTGCTGGATAAGACAGATAAAAACTAAAAGAAAATAGATTGAAAATAATTTAATAACTAGTTATATATCATACCTTATAATCCATAAGAAAATCTTTTCATAATCAATGAAAACATTCTTGGTTAATGTAACATTTTTTGAACAGAATACCTGCATCATGTGCAGCAGTTGCAGTCAGCAGACTGGAGAAGGTGTCATCTCGCTCCTCAGCAGACAGGGATAACAAACAGGGCCTTAAAGCATGGATCCAGCGCCGATTATAGTGTGTCCTTCTGTGCATCATAACTTAAAGACATTTCACACATTATTTTTTTTTATTATCACAATAGAAGCATGGTATGCATACAAACTGACAATCTCACACATGCAAACATAAAAAGTGCATGGATTATAAATGAACTGCTACAACTAATCAGTAAAATGTGAAAATGCACAGAACAAAACTTTGCTTTGTGATGTTTTCATTTCATTTGGCCTACTACTGACTATTGCATGGGCTCACACGGAAAGAGAAAGAAAAAGAAAAGAAAGAAGCTTCAGCATACCTTCAAGTTGCTACAGCACCCTTCAAGTCCCGAACCGGGGTGGAGTCTTCGAGGCTCGGGGTCAAGGCCTCTTGCAGCAGGACAAGATGTGAGGCAACAATGGACAAGCTTGTCCTCCTTATGGGCTCRACACACGGGGAGCGACGTTGCTCTCTCTCTCTATTCATTTCCTATGAAGCTTGTGGAATGAGGTGACAATCGCTTGCCCTTCTCCAACCAAGCGACCGGCGAAACTCGTGTGTGAAATCTTATGCTCATACACAGAGATGTGAACACGTGAGCTTGCGACGCAACATAAAAATGGTAAATGGTACTGAACTTATAGAGCGCTTTTCAAGTCCCTCCGGACCCCAAAGCGCTTTACACTAACAGACATTCACCCATTCACACACTGATGATGGCAAACTACACTGTAGCCACAGCTGCCCTGGGGCACACTGACAGAGGTGGGGCTGCCATGCATTGGCGCCACCGGACCCTGACCACCAT